TTCAATCACCTCTTAATCGTTTAGCCAAATATTAAGAGCTAAATGTTACTACATCTCTTTGTTTGTTTTGACATATTAAACTTGTCTTATCAGAAATAAGGAGAATGATTCTTTAAGCTAACATAAATACGACCATCGTGTGCAGTAAATTTGGAGGGTACAATAATAATGTGTGCCTTACATCACGCGCATAGTGCTACTGTGTACGAAACTTAGAGAAATCCTGATCCATGTTTTCGTACAAGAAACAGGAGATGTAAAATAAACTTTGGGAAACTGGGAGAAATTTTCAGCGTCCCTAATAAATTCCAGCTGTGGTAATAAGAAAAGCCATTTATGTTTGCCCAGAAATATACATGGTAAATAAAAGATTGTTGTTTCAACAGAGGCAACATCATGGCCGATGACATGTTTTCCCTTTTGCAAACTTATTACTAATGCCTTAACTTTGGTGAGAGATCCAGATAACTAAATAAAAAAGAACTGTACAAATTAGTATGGCAAAAAAATTCCCTTTTACCTTCACATATTTCGTTTTTAATGAACAAAACAAACAGGATTTCTTCGAGGTTAGTGTATCTTGGCAGCGATAGAAACTATGCATGAGAGAAGTGAAAAGAGTGCTTTTTGACATGAGGCTGGAAAAGGCAAGAAATCCAAGTAACTAGATGATAATCACGGACATTGTAATTGAAAAACAAGTAAAGAACAAAATCTAGTGCGATTAAAGGTTAATCTTGGTGGTTTCAGGTCGATTAAAGCATTGTTCTGGAAGTCGGAAATTGATTTTTTGTGCGTGCACCCGATCAGAATGGTCACTTAGCACGAGAGAGTTTCGTTAAAAAAAGAAGAAACTTTAGGACATAGAATCTTATCGTGATTGAGCAATACAGGTAACTCTCGATACCTCGAAGTCCGCGGGACCGAGGGAAAACTTCGAGAGATCAAGAGTTCGAGTTTTCAAGAGTCCGGAATTTTCCGGGTTTGTTGACAAGTTTTAAAATTAGTCTTACCGGATGTAATGATTTTCATGCAGCGCTAACCTTTTGCACGTGGTTTTTATAAAACAACCATATTTTTTCGTAATTCAGATGAATATTTCATTAAACTGAGTAAAGCAAAAAATGTATATCGTCATTACATGTATATTTATTTATTCTTCGTAATATGGACATCATACATGCATTCGTTACATGAAAACGGCATTTTACAGCGTCGTACATAGCTTTGACTATTCCAAAAATGATCATTGAACGCAGTTCTGTAAGTATTTGTCCAATAATGGTCGACATATCGACATTGAGGCTCTTTCTGCTTTTTTCATATTTCGTTTAACTTTGACTCTGATTCGAAATAAAAATTAAATTAGTGTTTTGTCTTTTAATCAATCACTACTTTTCAATGACACTGCGTCTTTAAATTATCGCAAGACAGTCGATGATAATTATTTTAATAGCATATAGGCAAAATATGATTATTTATAAATTAATTATCACCTTGAAGCATAAGTGTCACCTGAATAAACATAACGTTCCTCGAGACCCGCGTCTTCTACCTGGGGCCATTTAAATGTCCAGGTAAAGGTGCTAATTATATAATCTTGTATACATAAAGCTACTTCGAGGTATCGAGGGTAAATTCTAATAGAATATGCATAACGGGACTGCATTTTGACTTCGAGGGATCAAGGGTTTCGAGAGATCAAGAGTTCGAGAAATCAAGAGTAAATCGGTCCTACTAAACAGAGTACGCTAGTACGATAGAGTACTTTAGAGTACGCTAGTAAAATTTAATAATTTAATGCAATTTAACTACTTTTTCTATGTTTTTCTACTTTAGTTAAACATAATGAATATATATTTTAAATTAGATCTGTATGTTTTCCTTATTTTAGGAGTTGTTTCAAATTCTGATTTCAGGTGACGGTTTATCGTTTGATCCCGATCTAATTTAACTTGAACATGTTGAAATGTTTCATTGTTAATGTAAAAACTATTTATATAGGGCAATAAATTTAATTTTTGATAAAATTTAGTTGAAGTTAGTAAGTCTGAAACAAAATATTAATCGAGATCAGTGTTAATTATCTTTAACAGTTTAATGCATTGAATCATGAATGTTATTTTCTTGTCAAAATAGCGCTAAAAACAAATATTTTGAAATAAATATTGCAATATTAGTTTATAATAATGTTTAATCGAGTTATATTTACATAAATAAACAATTTAATTGCATTAGACTACACATTTTTTCTAGCGTACTCTAAAGTACTCTATCGTACTCTGTTTAGTAGTACCCAGAGTAAATTTGCTTAGTTATATAGTGGAAAAATTCGGGACCGGAGACTCACTTCGAGCGATCAAGAACTTCGAGAGATCGAAGTTCGAGCCATCAAGGGTTACCTGTACATACAATAAGTCTGAAAGATCTTTGCATTGAAATTTTTCCTGACTGAATGCACATAAAGCAAAATTGTCGACAGAATTCCGAAAGCATACAGTGAATGATAATCCACAAAGACCCGAATGTTTAGTGACTAATGACGGCAATTGCTTTTAACAAGCATATCTGTCCATCTTTGTTCATGGTTGGCAAAACCTGTCCAGTGACAACATTGTTACCTGTTAGGTGTGAAATCAACAAGCATACTGTGGCCACAGATATTCAATTAGCCGATCTGACACGATAATTAGCGAAAACACCATAAACCATACTGTTTATGTCTAACGCTATCTATCCCTCTCCCACGGGATTCCACAAACGTGTATAGAGGGTCAAATCCCCTCCCTAGAATCTGCTCCCTTTTGCTTTAGCTATAATAAGTTTCTTTGAGAAGAAAGATTTTATTTCAGGTCAATTTTCTCATCAATCCCATTGTTCGAGTTATTAGACCGACCAAGAGGCTACTCGATGTTTTGGTCGCACTAATTACACAAGAGGATACTTAAAGGCCTATCTCATGCTGGCCTTTCTTTTACGGCAAATGAAGATAGAAAATGACAACGAATTTACTCAATGTAATGTAACTTCATTTGTGAAATGGTCTCTCTCCGAGCAGTAGTCATGCTACAACTGTCTAGAGATTTCCCTAGCTGGGTAATACTAGAACTGGTATCTGTTTGGCCATTTATTTCATATTTCAGATAAATTATTTTCTTGCATGATGGGCTTATCTTTTTACTTTATCAATTATTACAATGTTCACTTTTAAGGCTTTGAATAATGACGGGGTTGATTTCAATTTGTTAGAATTGTACATCCGAAATTTAATTCCTCCCCATTTGCGAAATCTGAAGTCTCTTCAATTTCTTTTTCAGCAAGTCATATTTCATATGAATTATTGCTATTGTTGGAAATAAACACATTCGGTGATCAATGCTTTCTGGCTATATTACGTTTTGTTAAGTGGCTAAAAGAGATTTTCTACAGATTGGAGAATGGTAGCAGCAGGAATTGGCCATCTAAACCGAGAGAAAAATCGATCACTCACAACAAAAATTATTCTTAGTAGAATATGTATTGGAACCATTATTAATTGATTAACCTGTCACTACTACACGCGATAGAACCGACCAAAATAAAGACAAGGTCCGAATTACCCGAGGATTCACTTGATTATATTTTTTCTAGAAATAGATTCATGATAGGAATTTTTGCACACTCCTATTGTCGTGACGAAGTAAAGATTCCAAATATCCTACATCCTAAAGAGTAAAACAATAAAAGTAAAGACTTTATATTTGAAATCAGTTGCTATTCAGTTCGCGGTTTTGTATTTTTTCCAAGTGTAAATCATGACTCTCTAAGTCAAGCAGTTTAAAGGTGTCACTGTTCTGGGGGTGCCCTTTGTAATTCAGTGTCTTTGAAGTCCCTATGGAGGAATAATTAGGAAAATACTACTTCATTGTAGGAGTCCTTGTTGTAGGTCCTCATTTTCATACACAATCGTGTCCTGACATAAACAGGAATTTATAATTTAGCCCTTCTTCCCTAGAAAAATATCCTTTCATTTACATATTCATGGCTTGTGAGAGAAGTTTTTGATGACATAATTGGAATATACGTGCATATAATGTGGATCTTTTATACAATCCCATAACTTAATTAGCATAAATAGTTGATGAGTTCCGATGTCACTGCTGACAGGTTTCATCATTACGCACAAATCACAAAAAAAGAAAACAATAGATAAAACGCGTTTCTGACATAATGGCCATTTTCGTAATACCCGATGTTGATTGTCGTAATACCCGCTGCAGTCTCCGGTGATTCTACCTGGGTTTATTGGCATTTCTAGTCAGATACATATCGACTTTTAAGTGGCAGTATTGAATTAACACTTGTGTCAAGGGGCTCAGGATTCTCATAGTACTGTCTTTGCTATTTAGAGTTTCTAATGAAGGTCTGTTTCTCGTGTGTTTGTGTGCTTTTTCTGAGAGATCATTAAACCTCGATTAAACCCTGGTCTCATAGAACCTTGATAAAGAGGTTTACAGTACGGGCTCATTTAACACATACTTCTAAAGATAATCCGTTTTGATATTTTTTTAGTTGTTGTGCACGGTTACAATTTTTCTGATTAATTTAATCTTCAATCGCTGAAATAACATTGAAAGGCTTTATCTTCCTTCTTTATCACTGATAATTCGTTATCATTTCCGGCATCATCATGTTCTTACTCTAAGTTCTTTTTTTTTTCATTTGGCTCAATATTTATTATCCCTTATATTTCATTAATATATCAAGACAGTAAACGCATTAGTTCTGGCTGGCATTCACTCTCTACAGCTTTTAGATAATTTTAGATTGTGCTTGATGATTCGAAATGATACAAAAATGTTGCGTTTCAAATGTTCAAACAGCGTCGTGTGTGATAGCTATGTAATTCATGATAGGAGTAAACACCATTAATCTGGAATCATTGTTTAATTGAGAGATAACCCATGATAATAAAAACAATTAACCTACGAAGATAACATTCTCGTGAACTCGGAACCTACCTGAAGTGATGGACATCAGCACTGAAAAAATAAACATCCATGGTGGAGCTTCCATGTTTTTTCACTGTACTTTCTGTTCACAGACAACACACGTAGAATTGTAAAGAAGAAACAAAAACTAACAACATATACATATATCCTGGAATGAAATATACACGTCTAGATTCTGTCACACATTTAGAGGTGTGTGCCACATTTTTGTTTAAGCCGCCACACACCAGCGCACAAGAAAGAAATGTCTTTAAACCATGCGACAAAACTACGGCTTTTATACCCAACAATACGATGAATCGAGGATCTTCTTGCCACACTGCAATGACACACAAACGCCTCGTCCCCTCTCACATTCGTTTACAAATGAAGTTCAAGCGACACAGCAAAAATATTTCATTGAAAAATCGCCCCCGGGCAGAAAGTGCAAATTGGCAGAGTCCGCTCTCTTCGTTGTGATTGGACGGGAAATATACAGCCTCATCGGGAATAACCAAGGCAGTTATTGTCCATTGCATAAACAATAACACATTTAGCGATATAGGTATCTGATACACGGTCTGGATTGATAAGATGCTGAATTTAGCGGCAATAAAACGCGACTAAACGGCCAAATTACTTTTTCCTTCTATATCGATGAGAAGAGTGGCGTAGCACAAAATTTCATCCAACCGCGCGCGCTGCGATGCGCTGGTATCGGGAACCTGGACGATTGTGAAGGCCGAGCCAACCAACCAAGCGACGCTTCCAATGGATGTGAAAATTCAATCAAGTATTTTTTCTCACCGTGATTGCAAGTGATTCTTTTACTTCTTTTTCTAATCTTTGTTCCCTAACCATTGGGTTTATTGTTGATATATATCAAAACATAAACACATGCAAGTACTACACATATTGTTAGTTTTAAAGAGTACTTCTTTTTGCAACAATTCTGAATATCTGTTTTTTTTAAAAAAGAAAAGTAGAGAAGAGAAAATCTAGAATTTCTATATTTTTAAAGGCATACCATTTTCACAGCTACACAAATTAATTTTTACTATTATGTAAAATAAAAAAAAGTATGCAAATTATTGTCAGCAAATCGATTGCAAATACAAAAGACCTAAGAAAATCAATGCAAGCATAAATATATTTTATTTCGCGAAATGACAGCCTATCTTTGTGTATATCAAAATGTCATTACACGATGATCAATGCATTAAGTTCATTATGCAAATTAAGTACATAAATCTGGCATATTAATGTGCTTAAAATGTAGACAGATGTTCAATTTACCAAATATTTGATTAAACCATTTTTTGACAAATGAATAAATAAATTAAAAAAGCACGCTCCGGTGGAACAAAAAACCTGATGTAGAAAATATATTTTAGAGCTAGAATATTTAATGCGTCCCTGAAGATTATTACTTTTAGATTTTGAAAGAAAACACAAAAGCATCGAATGAAGGAATTCATAATACCCCTACTAGTGTCTCGTAAATCAACATTAGATGAGTGAAATAATTTTCATTTGGAAATGAGTTATTATTGTGTAAAAGAACACATTGGACTTGGTACAACACTCGTAAATTATTATAAAAGCTAACAGAGCGCAACCGAGAGCAGATGAGGAAAAAATCAGAATGAGCGGACATGGCACAGAATTCATAACTCAGCACCAGAGCAGATCGCATCACAGAATTGAGAGAAAAAATAATTTTCTTTGTCACCCTTAAAAGCCGAAAAAATATTGTTACATCAGGGGAAAAGATTGCAGTGATTTGTGGAGATATTCCATTGTTAAACAAGGAACGTGAAGTTCGGTAAAGTGGAAGTCAATGATGAATTTATGGTTCAATATCTGAGAAAAAGTGATAAACGTTGGTGATAAAGACATCATTTCGTCAATTAGCATGACCCTGAAAAAAAGATCGCAATCCATGGCGACGCAACCGTCGTGGCGACCAGAAAAAAAATCTCTTTAATTGATCAAACGAGTCACTGGAAGTGAGAATTCAGAGTATTTTCATAGCATATAGTTTCATATGTTTAATTTTCAAAAGTTAATTACGTACTACTTTGTATATCAACCATATACTAAACAGTGAAAGCAAAAGCTACATTATGCCTCAGATTTTAATAAGCAATATACAAAAGTTAAAAAAAAAGTCTATTATATTTAGATCATTGATAATTATTGAAAGGTCCTTTTTGAAATAATTCTATATCACCAAAATCAATAAGTAACTGCACTAAACCTACACACCTGAAACGCTGACTGTAAATAGAATCACGTAATTGCTGCGACAGATGCAAAGTAAAAGTGAGTCTTTGTAATATCAATAATTGAACAGAAAAGCCAGACTTTTCCGCGTGAAAATTTCTCTTACTAGTCCTCTTAAATTTCAAAATTAGCATGGTCAGTTAATACCGAGAAAAGGCCTTGTCTATAATTAGAGGAGATTCGAATTACGGGTTACTAACGAAGATGTGATTTATACGAACTAAGCCATTATCATGTTTGACTGGATTTAAAACATGGTGAATTTACGAGATTTTGGATACACCATGCATGGCCGTAGGAACCGGGGGGGGGGGGGGCACGGATAATTTTGCCGATATATAGATTACTATAGTAAACATAGATACTATAAGCCCCCTCATGTGCCCCCTCAATAAAACCGCCTGATGACCTTTTTTTTTTTTTTTTTTTTGCTTGTCAAGGAATATTTGGTAGTTGACGACCTTTTTTTTTTTTTTTTTTTTTTTTGCTTGTCAGAAAATTTTTAGTAGTGCCCCCTCAACTGTCAACTGAAAAATGTTTGGCTGTGCCCCCCCCCCCCCCCCCAAACTGAAATTGCTTCCTACGGGCCTGGCATGTCTACATAATATATTTCAGTCGCCATCTTTCTTTTGTTCATAGGAAGTCTAGCACCACTTAAATGTGAAATAGATTTTCACAATACCTTGAGGTCTTTTGGAGAAAATCAAATTTTTTGTATCAAAATTGAAGGAGTGAGAGACTAAAGAAATATCAAAGTAAATCGGAGCTGAAATGTCAAAATCTGATCTCTCTCTCTCTCTCTCTCTCTCCCCCCCCCCTCATAATAAGCGATATGGTTACTTCATTGTGTATTTTAAGGAAGCGATAAACACTAATGGAAATGTTTTGGGACTTTGAGATAATCATATCAAAGAAAGAACTACATATTAAGTTTAATTAGCTCATTTTCAGCATAGGGTACCTGCCATATTTCCCAAGGAAAAAAAAAGTTCAATTAATGATGTATTAATGAACAGAACCACTGTTGTTTCTTTACATGTGCATTGTGAAAACATATAAAATGATGTACATGTATTTGTTTGTTTTATCTATAATGTTTAGAATACTATTGTGACCTTAACAGTAGATTCCCATAAAACTATCCTACAAATAAAAATTTCTAGTGCGCAGTGTTTAGAGAGTTTTCGGCTGACCGCATATAAAACGTTCAAATGACCAGGATGATCTGCACTACAGAACTCATGGCTGCTGCAAAGCACCGATTTGATCTTGACAACTTGACGTTTTTTTCTTTTGTACGTTGTTTTCACACATTTTTTGGAACATCCATTCCTGATTACTGTCATTCACTGCGGGGAAATATTTCACTTTTCTTTTTGAAGGGGAACACTTGATACTGATTAATTGTTTTTGAACAACTTTGAATTCAGACCGTGAAGTCAACACTCTGGGAAAAGGTCCTTAACCTTACCCTGCATTGTCTAAACACAGAACTTCAAATATGTTCAATATAAACACAGAACTTCAAATATGTTCAATATCATATATATATATGTTTAAGCATTCCTTGAAGAAAATTTTGCAATCTTGTTAAAAAAAATGAACACAGGGTCACATTTAGCGCATTTTCTCTTAGACAATTCTTTCTTGATGAAAAGAATTTGTTGGGAATATATCAATAAAAGTTAAAAGCAAATTGCAGTGTCTTTCTATATGTAAATAAAAAAAGCTGAATCAGGATACTGGTTGGTTTTTGGTGTCGGGAAATTTTAAAGTCTCATTTTCGCATAACCCTGGGGGCACAGTAACAGATACTGCAGATCCAACTTTTTAAATCAAATTTATTGAAGCTTGATGCCGTTCTTGTAAAAGTTTTAATCCAAAAGGAAGTTAAACAGTTATTTATTTCAGCAAATACTATCTTTAAAAAGCGTATGTTTTGGCAGTAAAGAAACTTAAGTTGATTTCTAAAGAGGACAGGTGCAAGCCAAATGAAATCAGCAATTTCAAACTCGCGATGTAAATCAAGCTTGCAATTGGGTTTCCGATATTTGTGGTCATCAAGCTAGGCCATAAGAAAGCCAAATGGACTTCCAATTTGGGAAGAAATCTGAAATAATACGATTTGATGTTCAAGTCTCTTTCACTTGGAGGATCGGACGTCAGAACGGAAGTATAGAGAGCTAAGTCCCATTGATCGGCACTTATATGTTTGCATCCTAAATAAAATGGTTTTTAGACTTTTTATCAGTGGTCGTGAATTTCGTACCTTAAAATGAAACGCCATAAGTTTTATTGTAAGATGTGTTGAACATCAACAAAAATATGCGAAATTAATTCATCTGAGTCATTCTGTTGATGTATATGAATAATTAACTATGATTTATTGGACAATGTTTAACTCTCCTTGTTATTGTGAAAAAGAAAGGTCATTATTAATGAATTTTCTCTCATTCTTGTGAGGGAGGGTGCAAAACGAATGAAACCACAATAATTTCTATTTTACTAAAAAGTGATGTCACACGGTTACAAACCAAAGAATCCACATGCAGGGCAGAACAAAGAGATTAAAGGTAATATATTCGACAACATGATCACTCGACACAAGAGCTGCCTAAAAAGCCGACAGAAGGATTGTCCTAGCTCCCTCTACCTGGTCACACTATCCCAGGTAAAGAAAAATAAAGATAGTACTCTTGGCAGGTGTTTTTTGTCACTCACAGCAAGGAACCAGAATGATTTGTCCAGCTTTCATAGTGAAGCACCAATTATCCATCCCCGCTGAAAAGGCCCATACTCGACTTCACGTAATTCAAAACCGGGGAACTCAATTGGAACCACCCAAAACATGCTCTTGTTTAAAATGCAATTAACACTGCATGGGGACACTTTGATAATTATTATATTTCTTGGCAGTAAATCATGTCGTTAACAAACCGTTCGGCAGGTTAGCTGTTCATCAGGAAATAAAAGGTAAATTATAACCCAGGGAAGAGGTAAAAATACCCCCCAAACAAGGTTGACCCCTTTCCCTTGGTGCATATGCGGTTGACAGGTTTGTATAGGAGATGCTGTACCACACACACCTTTCATCACTTCGTACATATTAATTTCCCACATACCGAACCCGCTAACATCATTAACCCTATTTATAAACAGTCACGTAACAAAATGTGTCAAACTATGTCGAAAAATACTTCAGTCGTTGCGTCTAATCTAATGTCAGATGTTTTCAAGTTTTCGGGGTTTTAGTCCCCTCCAGATGCGCGTACAGCTGTAGCTGATGAGGCGTTTAAAGACATCGATATCTAAACAGATTCCCTCCTTTCCCTAATAATAAATCGACCTTAAAAAACGCAAGCTAACTTTTATCATCAATAATGAAAAATTTGAGATATTTTTTTTTTTTAGAATTTTT